ATGTTTGGAGGACGTATCATTTAGTATTTCAGGGCGAGAAGCTCGAAGATGACAAGATGAGGCTTAAAGAGTAAGTGTATCAAGTTAGCACTTTATTTAACAGTGTTGATAACGCTTATTATCCATTCACCCCCTCCCTTTCTTTTTTCATTTGTGTATATCTTCAGCTATGGGATCAGGAACAGAGATGAAGTGACGTTCATGAAGAGACTCAGGAAAAAGTAAACCACGAAAAACACTGTTTGCTGCAGTCCTCGTGTGTGCTCGTGCTCACAGTGTTTTATTCTTAAAATAACTTTAAAAACAACGTTGTTGTAGTTTTTTAGCCTCTCAAAGAGGCTTCATGTAAATAAAATATTTATAAGTTGTCTCTTTTGTTTCCAGTGTGCAGTTTTGCTTTAAAGAAGCCAGACTTTCTTGTACTTCTTAAAGTCATTATAGTTCTTCAGGTTTTCTAAAGGTATTTGTTTGCCTTTGGACACTGGATGCTTTCTTACTTACTTTCATTCCAGTCCTTGTACCTTTGAGCTATGAAGCATTCAAGCACAAACAAGACACCTAACCCAAAGTATGAACCAGCGTTGTATCTACACACTTCAGACATCCAAGCAAAGAACCACTTGAATGTGATATTTAGGCACTTTGTTACTGGCAACCTGTCACAAAACACATGATATGTTCCACTTTCTTATTTAGAGTCTGCAGAATGGTCAGATAAGTTTCACAGGCATAAATAGTATTTTGTGAATGAAGGTGATTTCCAAAGAGCTACTAGCCAAAACCTTTGCATATCTCACCGTGGTGTGCAGCATGTCCTTAAAAAACATTAGTGGAGGCCAAAAGAAGAAATGCAGCAGGTAAACATAATCTGAAAAAAAAAATGCAAATACAAATCCAGCAAAGACCTGACTCAGGACCTGAGAGATACATTTGGCCCTTCAGTCGGTCCATAATATGGTTGCTGAAGCAGGGTGGCTGTCGAAGAGTCATTCTTGAGGAAGGGGGACCAGGAGAAAAGGCTGAGGTATGCAAATTTCCACAAGAATTCTACTTAAAGTCAGTGGAAACAGTGCTTTTATAGAGTGATGAATGCATATTTGAAAGTTTTGGTTCAAACCATCTTAAGTGTGTACAGAGGAGGTCAAGAGAGGAGTAGAAGAGTGAGTCTCTACAAACATCTATAAAGCAGGGTTATATTTTGGGCTCCATTTAATCGAGTGTTGTTGGGAATCCTGTGAAAACGGATGGAATAAAGAATGCAGAAAAATAAATGGCCTGTACTTGTATAGTGCTTTGCTAGTCCCTAAGGACTCACACACTGGTGATGGCAAGCTACATTGTAGCCACAGCCACCCTAGGGCGCACTGACAGAGGCAAGGCTGCCGGACACTGGCGCCTCCGGGCCCTCTGACCACCACCAGTAGCCAACGGGTGAAGTGTCTTGCCCAAGGAGACAACGACCGAGACTGTCCAAGCTTGAACTGGCAACCTTCCTATTACAAGGCGAACTCCCAACTCTTGAGCCACGATCGCCCCAAACTTACCACCAAACTTTGACCTACCATTCAATACCAAGAGGAAAGCAACTGATTGGCAATGGCTTCATTTTTCAGCATGGTATGCTTTTCCTGCCGGTGCATTAAAAATAAAAACACACTGGCACATTGTCAGCTATGGACTGGCCTCCCTAGAGCCCACACCTCAACATTACTGAAGCAGTGTGTGATCAGAGCTTTAAATGTCCTTTAAAATCCTGGAGAACTATTCCTGAAAAGCTTGCATAAGAGAGTTCAGAATGTGTTGAAGAATAAAGAGGCCAACCAACTATTGGCTTTCAAGCTTGTTAAAATTGTACAGAATAGTTTTTACATTGCAAACTGTGTTTGTGCACGTGTGTAAATCCCCATATTCTTAGCAAAAGATAAAAAGATGGGGTCTAGAGACTTTTGCATACCTGTGCAATAACATAGCTGTTTTCCTAGGCTTGCATATAAGGTTATAACCATAACCTGATGATTTGAATATTCCCTGAGAACAGTTTGCTGTTGTTGAACCAGTACCAGTGTTACAGGATATACACGATACGGCAGGAACAGAAAAAGGTAAAGCAGATATCTTCCATTAAATAATGGTGAAATAGATTTTTATGAGGTTATAAGTTGAGATGTTAGATAAATGTTACAGCGGAGCATCAGTGCAGTTGGATACTTATTTGAACTTGTTTTATATACGATTGATCAGACGATTACACGCAATCATCAGCGTCCGTGTCTCTTTCTGTTTTATAGATCTTTTGCTTGTTTTCTAAGCATCCAGTCAGACCTGAGAAGCCATGTTTCTTTTAATGATTGTGACCAAGTTATCTGATTCAGAGAAAGCAGCATATTTGACTACATGCTGGATGAACTCATGTCCTGCATCTTTTTTTATTTCATATCAGTAGTAATAAACTTTATTTCTATAGTTTATTTGTAAAATAGTTACAAGGGGTATTTGCAGAATTAGAAAAAAACTAACAATATTTAGTCCAATACATACATAGTTTTAAAAACGTTTTGGTAAGAGGAAGTAAATTCCAGAGTGTTCTGTTAAAGCCAAAACACGGTGCACCTGTTTTGTTAAGCCTGAAACTTGCATGTTTGTTGCTGATCTCGTGCTAAATATTTGAAGGGGGAACAAGATAAGCAAATCATATATGTAAATAAATATGGTTGGAATGAATTAAAAGAATATGAACTTCATCACCAGCACATTATAGTCCACAGTTTTTATTTATTTAAAGTAAACTAGCAAACACTAAAACTAATGGTTTTATTTTATTGTATGTAGTTTTCTAAGTTCACAAAATTCTTTATTCCAAAAGTCTTGTTTTGACTTTCATTGTAGTTAACTACGATTTTTAAAATCTGGTTTTAGTTTTTAGTTACATGTCAGTTAACTATAATAACGTTCGGTCCTGGGAATTGTGCCAAAAAGTGATTGCTGATGTTTGTATGTGCATTTTGTCTAATATCCATAGTTATACTGGTAAATTCATGGAGGGGATTTATATAAAATTTATTTGTTTTGCAAGTATTCTCGTGACCCTGCACTGTTGTACCTACGCTGTGTTCATTATAATCAGTCACATTATAATCAGTCCAGTCTTTTTTGCCAGTTAAAATATCTTTATAGAACTGTTAAAAGTCACTTTGCCAAAAAACTGATTGCAGTCTTTACGTTGTGATGGAAATGTTCTTTCTGCTTCAAAATGACTAAATATCATTCATGAGAGATATGTGTGACAGATTATAAGCCAACGAGCTATTTACAACAGCTTAAATACTGGCAATCACTTTTTGGACCCCTTTTGGGTTCAGAACTGCCTCGATTCTTCGTGGTATAGATTCAACAAGGTGCTGGAAACATTCCCCAAAATTCTGGTCTATGTTTACATGATAGCATCACAAAGCTGCTTCAGATTTGTTATGATGTGAACCTCCTGATCCACAATATCCCAAAGGTGCTGTGCTGGATTAAGCACAGGTGGCTGTGGAGATCATTTTAGTGCAGAAAACTTCATGTTCAAGATATTAGTTTAAGGTGATTTGAGTTTTGTGACATGGTGTGTTACCCTGATGGAAGCAACAATCAGAAGACGGGTCATAAAAGGTCAGCAACAATATTCAAGTGTACTGTGTCATTTAAACTACGGGGCACAAAGAGCATCAAGAGAATATCCTCCACAACATGCTTCCTGTTCCTAGCTGATGGGAGTGGCACCTGGTATCTGTTTAAAGGTTTGATATGTTGATATGTTTTGAGTAGCTATTTGAGTTACTGTTGCCTTCCAGTCAGTTCAAAGTAATCTAGCTATTCTACTCTGATCTCTACCATCATCAGGGCATTTCTATTGATGACATAAGTAAGATATTTTCCTTTTTTTGGACCATTCTCTGAAAACGCTAAGGATGTTTGTTTGGGAAAAATCCCAGCAGATCAAAAGATTCTAAAATACTCAGACTAGCCCGTCTGGCACCAACAAGCACGTCACGTTCATCTTTCTTTCCCGTCTGACTATCAGGTTGAACTTCAGCAGTTTGTCTTGCACAAATGCCTAAACATATTGAGTTGCGTTCGCACGATTGGCTGGTTAGATATTTGTGTTTCGCAGTTGATCAGGTTTACCTAATGCTAGAAGCTATAAGATGCTAGAAGAGCCTTCCAAGTCTCTGAGCCATCTTAAAGATGCTGTAGGTAACATGTTTTTGGCATAATTGAGAACAATTATTCTGTATTTTTAAACCAAACGTAAAAACAACTACCACAAATACAATATGAAAAATGATTAGGATAATCATGGAATCTGACTTCCATAAAATAAAATTACACAATCATTGTCATTTTAACAACTTTATGTGAAAAAGAAAGCGGTAGGAATAAACAGGGAGTTGGATTTCTACTATTTTCTGCCTCTTACAACTTAAAGACAAAGATAAATGCATGCACTCTCTTATGCAATCATCTCATTTAGAATGTGGGGTTTAGAAAAGAAGCACATTTGTAAATCTTTGATTCACAGTAACATTTTATATGCTTAACCGGTCCAAAAACAATGTCTGCAATTAAATAAGATCACGCTTTCTCTTCTGCTTCTGTCCTTCCAGCAGTTGCCATGGATTTGGACAGCGAACTAAAAGAGATAGCCACTGAGATGAAACATCTCTCACTCAAAAGGGTACAACTGAAGGAGAGGAAAAACATTCTGTGCATATTTCAAGAGTTGAGGAATCGAGCTGAGTTTGGACAAACAGGTGAGCACTCAAGCAACTTCTGTGACAGTAATGGCTGTTTGCAGTCTTTTATATTTTCCATGAGGAATAAAAGCAAGTTGCGCTATATGTATAATCTCTGTACGGTTACTGTTTTGTTTTTATAATCAGAGGAAGCAGTCTCTACTCAGAAGGAGATTGAGAGCATCGATGAGAAACTGAAGGAACTGAATGAAAAACAGTCCGAGCTCCAGAAAAATTACGACAACATGCTAAATGCCGCCAAAAACAAACAGCACAAGAAAGGTGAGTCCCAGTTTGCTATGGCAAATCTAGCACACTTTACGCAGCTAACCACATTTGTTCTTCTTTGTTAGTGGTCAGTTTCACAGACAAAGAGAATATAGATTCTGCTGCTCCTCCTTCTCCTCCTCCTGGCTCTAATATTGTCTATGTTGTGGCTCCGCCTACTATCCCAGGTGAGCTACTTTTGGAAATTTGTCCTGTAAAACATAAAAGAATGAAAAGTTGAATGAAAACCACACTCGTGGTGAGGACTGCATGCAGATACTTGTGCTTGGATCGGGCCTTCTTGAGTGCATTTTCCCTTAGCTGCAGATCAAATACGACTTCATGCTACTGATTTTTGTATCTTCATGTGTGTTTTTCTTTCTTTTTTGTGGAAAACTATTTAACAGTTTGTCCAAGTTTAAAACGAGAGAGACGGATGTTTTGTTTTTATAAAATAAATCATCAGTCATGCATTGCTTCCCTTCACAGCCCCTGAAGTGGTTCTGGAGCTGGACAAGCTCCCGGCAGCTCCGTGCAGGACACAGTGCCCAGAGTGTCGGCAGTTCATCACGACAGAGACGTTCTCCTCTGTCAGCAGTGTGACATGGCTGGTGTGCATCATGACAGCTTTAGTAGGGTATGAAAGTCTCCTTCAGATTTACCATTGAAAGATTTGGACTGTTTCTGTTTGTCTAGCCAGTGTTATTGTCACCGTTACACAGCTTCCAGGCTAGTTGTCACTTAAGTGTCTTCTTGTTTCTTCTTTCGCAGCTGTGTGGCTGGTTGCTGCCTCATCCCCTTTTGCATGGATAGGTTCAAGTCCACCAACCACAGATGTCCTAAGTGTCGAACATTAATCACAACTATTAAAAAGCTCTGAGATGAAAGCAGATAGGGAAAGATGGAGAAGATGCTGGATATCCACCTAGTGATGATAACAACACAGCTGCAAAGGGTCTCCTGCACAATGCACTGAACATCAGTGCATGACCGGTGATGTTTGTAATCTCAAACTATAGCTGCTATTACTTTTTAGAAGCCTGTCAGACGAGACAGGTGGTTTCTGCCTTTATGCATATGCATACAGGGAGTGCAGAATTATTAGGCAAGTTGTATTTTTGAGGAATAATTTTATTATTGAACAACAACCATGTTCTCAATGAACCCAAAAAAATATCAAAGCTGAATGTTTTTGGAGGTAGTTTTTAGTTTGTTTTTAGTTTTAGCTATTTTAGGGGGATATCTGTGTGTGCAGGTGACTATTACTGTGCATAATTATTAGGCAACTTAACAAAAAACAAATACATACCCATTTCAATTATTTATTTTTACCAGTGAAACAAATATAACATCTCCACATTCACAAATATACATTTCTGACATTCAAAAACAAAACAAAAACAAATCAGCGACCAATATAGCCACCTTTCTTTGCAAGGACACTCAAAAGCCTGCCATCCATGGATTCTGTCAGTGTTTTGATCTGTTCACCATCAACATTGCATGCAGCAGCAACCACAGCCTCCCAGACACTGTTCAGAGAGGTGTACTGTTTTCCCTCCTCACATTTGATGATGGACCACAGGTTCTCAATGGGGTTCAGATCAGGTGAACAAGGAGGCCATGTCATTAGTTTTTCTCCTTTTATACCCTTTCTTGCCAGCCACGCTGTGGAGTACTTGGACGCGTGTGATGGAGCATTGTCCTGCATGAAAATCATGTTTTTCTTGAAGGATGCAGACTTCTTCCTGTACCACTGCTTGAAGAAGGTGTCTTCCAGAAACTGGCAGTAGGACTGGGAGTTGAGCTTGACTCCATCCTCAACCCGAAAAGGCCCCACAAGCTCATCTTTGATGATACCAGCCCAAACCAGTACTCCACCTCCACCTTGCTGGCGTCTGAGTCAGACGCTCTGCCCTTTACCAATCCAGCCACGGGCCCATCCATCTGGCCCATCAAGACTCACTCTCATTTCATCAGTCCATAAAACCTTAGAAAAACCAGTCTTGAGATATTTCTTGGCCCAGTCTTGACGTTTCAGCTTGTGTGTCTTGTTCAGTGGTGGTCGTCTTTCAGCCTTTCTTACCTTGGCCATGTCTCTGAGTATTGCACACCTTGTGCTTTTGGGCACTCCAGTGATGTTGCAGCTCTGAAATATGGACAAACTGGTGGCAAGTGGCATCTTGGCAGCTGCACGCTTGACTTTTCTCAGTTCATGGGCAGTTATTTTGTGCCTTGGTTTTTCCACACGCTTCTTGCGACCCTGTTGACTATTTTGAATGAAACGCTTGATTGTTCGGTGATCACGCTTCAGAAGCTTTGCAATTTTGAGACTGCTGCATCCCTCTGCAAGATATCTCACTATTTTTGACTTTTCTGAGCCTGTCAAGTCCTTCTTTTGACCCATTTTGCCAAAGGAAAGGACGTTGCCTAATAATTATGCACACCTGATATAGGGTGTTGATGTCATTAGACCACACCCCTTCTCATTACAGAGATGCACATCACCTAATATGCTTAATTGGTAGTAGGCTTTCGAGCCTATACAGCTTGGAGTAAGACAACATGCATGAAGAGGATGATGTGGACAAAATACTCATTTGCCTAATAATTCTGCACTCCCTGTATTATAATGCATTTTTCAGGCATGTCTGTGTAACAAAATGCATATTTCATTAATACTTTGGTACTTTAAACATGCTAGTTATTTTCAAATCTTTTTTAAATACAATAAAACTTCAAAATTACAGACTTTCCTTGTAAATTTTTAATGGCAAGCAGTAAAGGGCAAGTGCTGAAGCTCATAGCCAGACACTGAAATCCCAAAGAATCTCTGTATTTACAAAACGACTGTTAATATTTGTATAAAAAGCCAACATAAATACATCATGTGTAAATCATACAAATGCAAGGTTTTTGTATGCTAGTGTAGTAAAGACTAAACATTTGTCATTCCAGCACATAACCCCTTTTTAAGGAGAGACACTTGGGTGGTCAAATGAGGCACAAAGGAGGAGATGGGGAAAAGAAATAAAAAAAAATAATAGAAATTTGCATCATTTTCATAACAACTATTTCCATATTTGGGTGGCTTAGAAACTGCCAGTAAGTGGTCAATAATTTAACAATATGACACAGTTATTACACACAAACTGTACTGCCAAGATATAATGGTTTGTGTCACTATTAACAACAGAAACCAAAAGGATAGCACGTCTTCCATTTGTTTGTATGAAGCTGATTCAAATCAGATGTGGCCAGTAGATGTCACTGAACTACAACCTGACTTGTAACGTCTGATGGTTATTTGATTTTGAAATGATGCTGCAGCAAAAACGAGCGCTGGATCATACTTCTGTTATTTTTCTCTGGTGTTGTGTGTTTGTGAGCTGCGCAGATGTCTATTTACTGAAAAATGAAAATAAATTATTCAAACATCTTCAGCCTTTAGGAATCAGTCCATCGCCCATCGCTGTAAGTGAAGAGTCTGGCTCTCTTCTTCTCTGTCTCGCTCCCTTTTTTAAGCTCGCATTTGTCTCGCGTATGTTTGACAGTGTGTACAGATGCACGGTGAGATACATAACAGACTTGTCTTCACTCTTTGATCTGTTTTGCAAAGTGCAAGAGAGGAAAACATGGTTTTTTTTTTGGTAATAAATACTGGCCTTGGTTTAGTCAGAGCAGCTGGGCTGCTTGTTGTGGCCCCTTTTCTAATTTCATCATATTCACACTCCCAGCTCAAATTAAACATCTGATTTATACTTCACAATTCACATACACACAAGGATCGTGCAGCGGTTGTGTGTTTACAATCTGTTTTGATAGTGATAATCATTCCAAGACAGGGTGGAGTAAACTACACAGCAGCCCTCAGCTACATTCGCTGTTTGGCCGTTAGCACTGTGGCCAGGATTTGGGACATTTTCCTGCTCTTTCTGCTCACACCACGCTGACTGTAAAGCTCTACATTCACTGAGATCAGAGGACTAAGAGGAATCAATAACATTAAATGAGACTGATAACAAATCAGCGGCGTGTCTTGAGATGGAAATCTTAAAAGCTTACTTCCACTTTCAGCTCAAACTGCCAGTACCACTCTAACTTTATCTGTCTCCTGATACAACCAGAGGATTTAGAGACCTCAAAGGAAGCAGTTCAGCAACTTCTAAAGTGATGTTGCACGATGAGATTATTACAGAGCTGATTTATCTGTCTGGAAAGCAGAACGGGGCTGCTGAAGCATCCAAACAGCTCTTATTGTCTTATGGAAACAAAAGCAGTCTTCTCTCACAATGAAAAACGATCGCCTTGACAGCACTCAGTCCCAGTTCAAGTGCAGTTCACTAGAGTCCAGGAAGTCAGACGAGAAGACGCCTACTGGCACCGACACATCCAAAGAGTGACCCTCCTCTGCTGGCACAGACAGAGTGAGATCCAGCCAATCCATGTTGTCCATGTTGAGAGCAGAGGTGGACATGTTGTCATTAAAATCCACTTCCATGGTGTCCCCAGGTGCATGTAACTCATCCATCAGCTTCAGTTTTTGTGGTTCTGTGTCAGGGAGCAGTGCGCCCTCCAGGAGGGTTTCCAGCCGGGAGTCGGAGGTCACGCACGCAGGCGGCTTTGCTACCTGGACTAAGGGTGGAGGGCGGGATAAAGCTGTGTTGATGGGAAGGGTGGTTACACTAGCTGTCACCACAAGAAGCTTATCCAGGTTGGGAGGATCCTGTGTAATATAGGGGGAGATCTCTGAAAAAAAGAAGAAGAGAAGGACATGGTGAGATTTAAAACCTCATAAAGGTATCACAATAATCAAATCACACCCAGTATTCTCACCACCACTCTCCAGCAACACGTCAAACAGGTCATCCATCTCCTGGCTGGCCGCAGTGGGACCCTGCAGAGAAGAGAAACCGTTACATGTCTGAATGACACAAGTGAGATGCTATATTTATGTATCAGATTCTTGCCTGAACAGCTGTTAACATGCTGTGTTTCTGTTTAACGGCATCCTCATAGCGCGGTGGGTCTTTACACTTTGACACGTGGTTCGTGAATTTTGGATGCTGCAAGATCAAACTGTTTGGAGACTGGCTGGAACAGGGAGGCTAATAAACAGGAAATAAACAACATCAAATACAAAAATACTAACTACATAACATTAATTCTTGCATGCTTTACAGAAAAATTAAACATAAGCAGAAGGAACATAAGGATAATCTCCACCTTATTTGTAGGTCCTTTGGGAAGAGCCTGGCCTGAAGAAGCTCCTGCAGTGCATCCACTCACTGGGAATGTATTGAGAAAGTTCTGTGCCGCGGTATTAATCCTCCACGTCTGCACAGAGAATTGAAGAGGTCAGCACGGAGGCATCAGTGCAATCAAACATACTTTCTCTCAGGGAGTTTGGTTAAAGTAGCAGTGCAGCTGCATGAGAACTGTGGAAACCTGAAAGAAAACCCACTGTGGATCATTCACTTTTACGCAAAGACATCTTAAATTAAATTTCTTCAGCCCCTCTCCAGCCGGAGGATGACAATGTTTCATCTACCTATGACGGCACTGTTTGCAGGGTAAACCATGAGAGCTGCGGTTGAGTTAAGCAGCGGGCTCTGTTACTAATTCTGCCTGCATGTCGGACTCAGAGCAGAGGAATGACTGGGAGCGACGAGGGCACGATGGTCAGCTCTCACTCAGCACCTGCTCCAGTAACCCATGTTTCCACAGGCTTTCTTTTGATGTGCGGAGTGAAAGATGCCACCACTCAGCAGAGGCCTGTTATTACCGTAGCATGAAGGAAGGCGCATTAGCCATGGTAGCGCTTAACTGACTGTTAAATTAGTTACGTGATATATTATGCAGTGCCATGAAAAACATGGCAGAACATTTATGATGTTATCTTGTGTTTACACAGCACAATACTGGATTTATGATTTCAGGCGCGCATACATACACATTGATACGTTTCCAGTTCCTACAAGGAGACTAAAGTGAGCACAAAGTCACAGCTGATAGTGGTGATGAATGGGGAGACAGGCTGAGGCAGTCTGTAGAAGCAGCGTAGCTTTTTTTCTTACCTTTGCCAG